TCAACTTTGATTTAATTAAACAGATTGCCGAAGGAGTGTATGGATCCAGTGAGGAAACGACTCTCAGTAAAGGGCAAGTGCTCAATCTTCACGCTCTGAAAAAGACCGAATGTTACCTGGGAGTCACCGATTCAGGGGAAGAGATATACATCCCCTTCAACTCCCGCAACAAAGTCCATGTTTTTGTTGACAAGCGTTTAGAAGACTGCAATACTCCTGAGGAAGCGTGTGCAATCTTTCCTAGAAAATACAAGCACGTCCGCTTTCCGAAGAGCAAAACAAATCTAGCCGACGGATCAGATGAAAAACTGGAAGCCTTGTATTTTAACAAGGATACAATGCAGCTGATATGCATTGACAATCAAGGCTGCGAAGTCACTTTTGAATTGGCTCATTTGAACAAACTCATCGTTACAGAAGAATACAAGGCTGTTTTCGTAGCTGAAATACGTGCTAAAGAAATTTCACCTCCATTCACAGTACAGTTTACAGCGCCGCATAGCTCGTCTGCGTATCTTCCAAGCGGTTGGATACGAGTAAAGAAGATTGTCACGAAGCTGACGGTCATCGCAACACCATATAACGTTGAGTTCAAGTCGATTTTAACGTTACCCAGCACGCTTGAGGTGACAGTGTTAGCCCCACGACAAGCATTGCCGAATGAAAACCATCCCGAGTATCGTCATTTGCGGGAAAAGATTAACAGGGAGGTGAACTTGAAAAAAGTTGAAGAAAAGATTGAAAGTTACGACGGGGTTAGTTTCATTATATTAGCTTTCCGAAAACATTTTCCGTGTTTCTATACAGTTATTGAAACACGCGTGGGAGTTTGGGAGAACGAGAAATAATCAGTGGGAAAACAAGTCCGTAGGGCGAGTTTTCCACGTTATTTCGAGTTCTCCCAAACTCCCACTAGTGTTTCTATAACTGTGTAGGAACATAGGAAAAAATCGTTTCTATTTCTTTTATAATATAACGCAATAAAAAGATTTTATACAAATATTATAATTCGATTCAATTACAAATTCTCATTACATCGCTTCGCTTGTCAAGTTCGGTGGGAAAATTCCCGTGTTTCTATACAGTTATAGTTTTTAATTATAATAACTTGTAGGTACACCACGTAAGTATTAAATACTGCAAAGCTTTCGGTCCGTTAACCCGGACCTTCATCAGTGCAATTACTTGAATACACGTTTGCGCGTCACTTAAATATCATGTTAGTCGTGATTAGTTTGCTCGCGCTATTAATTAAACGGTTTCATTTAATTAAGTTCTAATTAATGCGCGCGCCCTAGACAAGTATTTGACTAAGAGACACCGAAAAGAGCACGCCACGTACTATTAAGTGGCTTTCCCTCTTGGACGATAGTTTGATGTTTATAAATTTCAATAGATTCTCTCATTTTACGAGAGACAGTAAACTTATCGTTTGCTAAAATGGTAGCATCGTTCCATTTAATGCGATGATCATAAGTCCATGCATGGTGAGCTACTGCAGACTTATCCAGTTTACCTTTCTCGCAGTTCGTCTTATGTTCTTTAAGACGTATTGAGAGATTTCTACCGGTCTCTCCAATGTAAACCAAACCACATTCACATGGAATGCGGTACACACCAGGTTTCTGTTGTTCATCGACGCCATCCTTGTGTGTGTAAAGAGCGCGAAACAATTTGTTATTGCTAGAATGGTAAACTTGTATTCCAACTTCTTTTAAAATCCTAACGATTTTATATGAAGCTGGGCCAATATATGGTAAACAGACAGAGGATAGATATTCCGTGTCTTGCCTCTGTCTTTGCTGTTCATTCATAGCATGTTCTATGAATTTCTTAGGATAACCATTCATGTGCAGAACATCCTTCAAATGCTTTAACTCTGAGTCAATGCTATTTGAATCACAAATTGTTTTGGCACGGTTGATTAATGTTTTGCATACTGATCTTTTAATGCTAGGATGGTGAAATGAACTATAATTCAGATATCTGTCAGTGTGTGTTGGTTTTCTATAAACTTTATGGCCCAAAGTCCCGTTCTCTTTTACATCAAATAAGATATCTAAGAAAGATATAGAGTTATCTTTCTGTAATTTCTAATGTGAATTTAATTGAAGGGTGTATACTATTAATGTGATCTAAAAATTTATTCAAATTTTCTAAACCATGCGACCAACTACTTAATGTGTCATCTACATATCTAAACCAGAAACCAGGTTTTAAACATGCTGTAGCTATAGCTTTCTTTTCAAATTCTTCCATGAATAAATTAGCCATAACTGGTGATAAGGGACTACCCATAGGAGCACCATGAGTTTGCTCGTAGTATTTCTCCCGCCAATAAAGTTTATAGAAAACCAACACACACTGACAGATATCTGAATTATAGTTCATTTCACCATCCTAGCATTAAAAGATCAGTATGCAAAACATTAATCAACCGTGCCAAAACAATTTGTGATTCAAATAGCATTGACTCAGAGTTAAAGCATTTGAAGGATGTTCTGCACATGAATGGTTATCCTAAGAAATTCATAGAACATGCTATGAATGAACAGCAAAGACAGAGGCAAGACACGGAATATCTATCCTCTGTCTGTTTACCATATATTGGCCCAGCTTCATATAAAATCGTTAGGATTTTAAAAGAAGTTGGAATACAAGTTTACCATTCTAGCAATAACAAATTGTTTCGCGCTCTTTACACACACAAGGATGGCGTCGATGAACAACAGAAACCTGGTGTGTACCGCATTCCATGTGAATGTGGTTTGGTTTACATTGGAGAGACCGGTAGAAATCTCTCAATACGTCTTAAAGAACATAAGACGAACTGCGAGAAAGGTAAACTGGATAAGTCTGCAGTAGCTCACCATGCATGGACTTATGATCATCGCATTAAATGGAACGATGCTACCATTTTAGCAAACGATAAGTTTACTGTCTCTCGTAAAATGAGAGAATCTATTGAAATTTATAAACATCAAACTATCGTCCAAGAGGGAAAGCCACTTAATAGTACGTGGCGTGCTCTTTTCGGTGTCTCTTAGTCAAATACTTGTCTAGGGCGCGCGCATTAATTAGAACTTAATTAAATGAAACCGTTTAATTAATAGCGCGAGCAAACTAATCACGACTAACATGATATTTAAGTGACGCGCAAACGTGTATTCAAGTAATTGCACTGATGAAGGTCCGGGTTAACGGACCGAAAGCTTTGCAGTATTTAATACTTACGTGGTGTACCTACAAGTTATTATAATTACTAAAGTCGCCATGCAATCATACAAGAAAATTATTACAGTTATAGTTTGTTGCAAAAGCCTTGTTTCCATTCATTCGTAATCATCATGCACATGCAAGTCATCAGTTTTCGCCGGTGAGAAATAGTCCGGATATAATTATGTCTATTTCTGTACACAAATTGAAATAATTATTCTATCACATCGGCCACCTTGACATGTTCATGAAACGGAAACCAGACCAGCTAAGCTAAAGTAAACACTTCACTAGCTTTTTTGTCGTACAAATTTCCCAAATGACAGTAAACAGTGTATTGAAAAGCTAGTATGGAATATGCAATTTATGTTTTTTGAAATTTAAATGCTTGTGCATGTAACAAATTCCAACTTAATTCTAGTTTAAATGCAAGTTTTTTACATCGCATAGAAATTCTCACTGCCTTTGTCATCTTCACTAATATATAGCTGAATTTATGTGGTCTAGTATTGCATAAATTTTCCTTAGAAAAACCATTTTGGCTTGACCAATATAGGCGTGTTTTTCACTGTTTAACAATTCAGTTTATTTATTGCTGAATGGTTAGGATCAGATAAAGTTTGCAAGAGTAAAACGGATCTGTTTCGTTTATTAGATATACGACGATGTGGAAACGGAAGGCGTGTCGTCCATTCCATACGCAACGACGTTTTTTGTCAAACCTGCCGCAGACGATGGTAGCAGTGGTTTTGAAGAGCAAGCAAGTGAAAATCATCCCCGGTATAGTAATTTACGGGAGAATGTTAACAAAGAGATGAACTTGAAAAGAGTTGAAGAAAAGATTGAAAGTTCTGACGAGGTACGTTTTATTATATATTAGCGTATATAACTTATATAACTTATATAGCCACCATAGCCCTGAGTTAAAATTCGTTATATAATTTGTTGCAAATGCCTGGTTTCCATTTAATTATAAATGTCGTGAAGAAGTCATTTTCACCGATGAGAAATAGTCTAGATGTATTTTTGTCTTTATTTTTTCCCACGCATAGAAATACTTTATCACATCAGTCACCATGACATTTCACGACACGCACGAATAAAATGGAAAGTAAACACTTCAGTAGCTTTACGACAAAAAAACGAAGTACAAATTTTCCAAATGAGAGTAAATAGTGTATTTAAAAAGGATAGTATGGAATACGCAATTTATTTTTACAAGAATTAAATGCTTGTGTAACAAATTCAAACTTAATTCTAGTTTAAATGTGAAATTCTCACTGCCTTTGTCAATATAGCCGGGGCCGGTTGTTCGAAAGGCATTTAGCTTAAACGGCGGATAAGTTCAAAATGGAAAACAAAATTTTCAGTCTTATTATTCCGCAAATGAACTGAACTATTTCGATGTAAAGAGCTTAATTGTCAATGGAAGTACATATTTAATGCATGAGTTGCAGGTTCAGGGATTTACAAGATGTATGAGAGTATTTTTAAATTTTGGCTTATCCGTCGTTTAAGCTAAACGCCTTTCCCAGAACGTTTTCATTGTACCTTTGAAAAACCAACGTGGCTCTAACAATTTATTCGCATGTTTTTCACTAGTTAACAAATCAACATCGCAAGCCAGGCTTTTCTACAACAACTTAGTTTGCAAGAGTAAAACGGGTCTGTTTCGTTTATTAGATATACGACGATGTGGAAACGACAGGCGTGTCGTCCATTCCATATTCGTCGACGTTTTTTGTCACACCTGCCGCAGACGATGGTAGCGGTGGTTCTGAAGATCAGGCAAGCTCAAAAGCAATGCCTAAGGAACGTCCAGCAACTCCACCGAAAAGCACTGGCGGTTTGAAACAAAGAGTTGGCCGATTGTTCAGCCGAATATTTAGAAGGAAAAAAAACACTATCTCAGGTTTGTTCTGGTTTGCACTTGTAGTAAGTCACCCACTTGCATCTATAGCCTCATTTATACTACGGTTTTGGTACGGATGAAATTTTGGACCATCTATTTAGGTTGTCCGAATTTCATCATTCTCATTATCATCCGTGCCAAAATTGAAATTGAATATAATGTAAACGGATAAAATTGGTACGGGTAAAATTTGACTGGTACCATTTTTTAGGTATCGTACCAAAAATTGTACGTAGTGTGCACAGGGCTTAAAACGCTGTTTATGTCACCTCGAGTACCAGGGAAGCCCTATATGTACCCTTCGAGTCACAGTGGTAGAGGTGAATTCATGCATGTTCATTTTGTAACAGTTAAAAGGGAAGTGTTTGAACTCGCTGATATGTAAATAGGGTCACCCTGGGGGGGGGGAGGGGAGATGTAAATTCGGCTGATATGTATATAGCGTCACCCTGGGGGTATGGGGTCTATAAGGAAGGGGATTGTGTTTGGAAGCTTTTCATTAACTTAGGTATTTTCCTTCTTTACCAGATAGCGAAACTGGACAGGAAGAGGTACGTATTAATTCGGGTATATTCGGGTTTATTCGGGTATGCAAAATTACCTCTAGTCGATATAGAGGTATAAACATACGCCTTCATGCAGTAGACATTTTCATTAAATGAAGTATAAAACATACTCCCGAATAGAACTTTAATCCGTTCACCGGATGAGAATGTATAAGAGAATGATAGTACAAGGTTCTTTCGACAGCATATTTCAACTTTTATTTGCTACTGTGAACATGCATGGTGAATTCAGGCATGTTTTGCATGTTTAAGCGATCGCTAATTTCCTTCTCATCGAATTGCCTGGAGCAGTGGAACGAGAGGCAGACAGCACAAAGCTTTTCAATACTTTCAGCAGTTTGTTCCAGCAATGAATATATGCGTGTTCAACAGGGGAAACCCGCCTTGATTATATTGCAAAGTCTCAAAGGGCTACAAAGGGTATTCAAAAATCTCACACTTGCTACATTTTATTCAGTTAATTGAGGTTATTATTCCATGAAAATATGTTCTTAGCAGCGTGACAGCGTCCCTTTGTGAAAAACATTTACACCAGAACTTTTGCATTGAATTGTGTTGAAATTACTTGATGAGATTCAGTTTGCATTATAGGATGTTTCGCCAAGGGTATACTACGAGACGCTCTATGCTCCGCGACAGCTTCTATGGGATCGCAAAACAGATGACTTGAATGTGAAAGAGGTTAGGTTGTTCCTGAATTACCTTAACCTGGGCCAGTATGGAGAGCTTTTTGAGCAAGAGCAGGTGGATGGAAAATTGCTGAAGAGTTTAACTAAAGAAATGCTTCAAACCGACTTCAAAATGAACGAATCACATGCACGTAATTTGGAAAGAGCTGCACGTCAAAATTGGCGGCCTGCTATCCAAAATTGAAAAGGAAAACGGTGGCTATTCCTAAGGCGACCGGTTTTTTATTTTCTCAGATGGAACTAAACTATAAAAATTTCTACCAACCTGTGTAATTATATATAATCATTATATATGTCGTAATTTTATATAATTAATGATATAATAATTATTATACATTATATATAATAAGATATAAGAAGGATCCATTCTTAGATATGTCGTAATTATATATAATTATTATATACGTCGTAATTATATATAATTGATAATATAATAATTATTATACATTATATATAATAAGATATAAAAAGGACCCATTCTTATATGTGTCGTAATTACATACAATCGATTTAAAGAAGGAATTCGTGCTCAAAATTTGCAACTGCATGAATGAAGCTTTTGTAATACATGATTTATTATGCTTATTGTACTATAACGTATATATGAATAATTATACTGATTAATGGGGTTAGTGGGAGTTAATAATATTTATAGTATATTATATTGATTCAAGTAATTATTTAGTAGACGACCCTCGTAAAAATCAGCTTTCATAACTTGATGAGGGGGCTATAATATAGCGTGTAACTTTTAAATAAAGATTTACTATATATTAATAAAAATACTATCTTATTGACAATATTGTAGCAGTCGTATAGCTGTGCTTTATATATAAATACTAATGAAATTTGTTTTGATTACACTTGTTATTCTATTTGTTGTAACTTTATATCAGTACCATAGATTCATATCTATATTTGCATATGTTTTATGTAAGTTCTTTAACGCTTTGGTAAACGACTTTCGGTGACTTTAATTAAAGGTGTATTTTTGTCAAAAATGTTAAGCGATGTTGCACTTCTTAAATGGAGGTGAACTATCTCATATGTATCATATTCGACGCATAAACCTTTTTCAAAATATTGTTGCGATGCGAGTTGATATTGAAAGTTGTTTCGTGTGGCATTACCTTAACTCTTTATGCGAGCTTCCGGGCGAGCTTTCTAGAAGCCGTCTTGCGAAGTGTTGTAAGCCGACGAGGCAAAGTTTTTCGTAAACTTGATGAAAAAAGAATGCGAAAAATTTCGTGTCATTCTTATATTGGTCATATTTTGAAACCTTTTTCGACAGCTTTATTATATTTCCCATAGTTTCTAACGGCAGTTGGTTATAACGCGTAATAAACTTGCTATATTGCCGGTTTTCCTGAGTTTCCACTCGGACATACTGGGCAAATTGAATTGAAATCCCATTGGCTGATATTATAGTTTTTATGAAGTAAAAAAATCATGAACTCGTTAAATTTGAGAGCTGCGGAACTAAAGATGTTTTCCTGAATTCCATTTTAGGGATACGAAACTTCGCATGACACACAAATTAAGAAATAACACCGAGGCTTCTGCTGGCGAGAAAAGCGTAGGTACGTTTATTCATTTTCTCACGCTGCCACCCACGTGTTCTCGACCAATCAGCAACGTTGTTACGTCCTGCAATGGGCTGTGAATTTCAGTGAAATTTCCATATATGGTATCTTCAACGCCGAATGGAAAGTAATCTTTTCAGCTAACCACGCTGTCACCAACCACATTAGTTTGCTTTCCCGATAAAGCAAATCATTAAAATGCATTTCGAAAAGAACACCGCCAAAATAAAGAAAGTTTAACTTGAATTGCAAGAAAATTCAGCATTGTAATCATTTGAAATATCACAAATGATATATGGCTGTCATATTTTCAGAAGTAAATGAAAGTGAGTAGCTTTGAGAGCGACTTACTGCGTAGGCGACGTAATAATATAGACTACTGAAGTTCAATATTGATTCATTGAACGTTTCTTTGATGTAAATATATCCTGTACAACATTTATTCACCTATAGCTCCGATGGGAAAAACGTCTATAACCTAGTACGCGGCCAACGAATTTATTTTATTTCAGATTCGAAATGAATTGAATTTGCTGGTCCAGAAATAAATTGAATTCCGAACTGACTATACATGTTCAGTAACTGACGACAACTGATCAAAGAGTCGCACGGCAACGTTTGCACATTGCCGTTTCCGTGAGAAAGCGTTTTTTTGTGTGTTTTCTCAAGCAGAAATACATTTGAAAACGGATGAAACTTTCCCCGAAAATGGGGAACTACTGAATAGATTCGTTACGCCGCCCCGCAAACTGATAAAACACTGAGATTCTTTCAACGAGATATCTGCCGTTCTATGAATATATAAGCAGCTGTCGATGTCGCCAAAAGAAAACGAAAGAAACTCCAAATGCACCTGCGTACAATTTGAATCAAATTCGATTCATATTCATCGGGCCTAAATTCGGTTTTTCTTTCGCAGAAGACATCAAAAACATGTATTTTGCTTTCGTTCTTTCGAGCAAGCCAAAAATAGAAATAACATAGAACCTCGTGAAATATGAAGGTGACTATAGTTTCATTGATGTCACTATGGTTTCTTTGGCGGGAATGTCCTGGAAACGAGATTCACCGCGGCCGTATTGGTAGTTAAAATTCGCTGCGTACACGCAGGTGCCTCGCCAGTCATAAATGAATACGTTATTAAGAGTTAACTCATATCCGTGAATCGCTTATAAAAACTGTAACTTTTGAGCCGAAAGAAAGTGTTGCTACTATTGCCCGCGCACCAATTTCCAGCGGTTATCCGTTCTCGCCGTGTACCATCTAGCCGGGATAAGAATTTTTCACAATTTCCGTCATCGTCACAGCAGACACAGGAATTGTGTGTTTAACAATAAATTTTCAAATTTCCGTTACCATAATTATTCGTATATGTTCAAGTATATCCTCAGGTGAAACTCGACAAAATGAAAGTCGGGAAATGTGGGAAATTGTTTGCCTACTGTAATCTTCAATGCAAACAAAATGAAATAATTCATTGCAACCCGTCCACTGAAAAACATGTTGACACAACGAATCAATAATAATTCGTATAGTAACCCGTCCATGAAGAAATATGTTTACACAACGAATAGCGATTCCATAGTAATTGGAATTGCAATTTGCTTTGAAAGAACCGTACACGAAGGAACATAGAGAGTGCTTGCCTTCAGAATAGTTTACAAATCGTTCGACAAATTGCTTTTGAAAGACAGCTTGTGAGTTGTGCCTTGTGCAACAGTATGTTCGGCAACTGCTGTCAGTTGTTTATCACTTAGCCAAATTCATTGTTAGTTTGTTACGTATGCAAAATGTTTTTGGTCGGTCTTTGTGAAAATAAAGTACTTTAGTACTCAAAGATCGTAGACTGCATAAAAAGTCTTCATATGTATCGCATATACTTGTCGCTTGTTTATTTCAAACACTCTTTAGACATTCAAAGACTCTTAGACATGCTTTATATTGCTTGAACTCTACAATGTGACCTTCATTGTTTATATTTCATTCGTGAAAAAATCGACGCCTTGGAATGCAACAAGTGTCGGCGTAGACAAACACGTCACGGGTTGTCCTGACTTCTCGGGGTTTCGTTAACTATGGCAAATAAGGAAGTCCGTGGCACATAAGTTGCTCGCAAGACAACTTTGAAGCTTCTGAAAAGCAAACAAACTTGGAAATTGCTTTTTTCGAAGCTGGGATTCAAGCGGTAATCTAGGAAGACAAATGGCGCTTACTTGGAGCGACGCCGAGGTTCCGTTGACATTATTCTTGGAACGGTTCAATCTGCCACAAATTGTACAGGTAACGACAACAGCAATACGATGTACTTTATATAATACGATGAATACTTTATAGCATAGGTCATTCTAGTCTATCCACGCTTGTATTATTCGAATGAAGCGCTCAAGCAAGATTCTAGCTTGTTCGATTGCTGTTATGGTGTACGATCAGCCATGCATGCTTAGAAATCATAAGATGTTTGGATCAAAACCGCGTAACTCTGGTTACATGTTTGAACTCTTTCAAGTAGCGTATCTATCTAGCTCTCTACTCCACAACCGCTTTGCAACTTTTTCTCGCACGGCGCATCAGACAACAACAGACGCTGTGATATTATGTACCTTGAGTCGTCGAAGCTTAATCTCAATGTGTTATATTAATCGTTCTATAAATGTTCGGCGGCCATGGTCAAATACCTTCGTGTATACATAAGTTGCTATTTCTCGCTGCCTCCTTCGCTTGCGACATCTACTTCTTCATCTCAGCGCTCGATTTTCGTCAATCCAACGTTTCTTTAAATGTGGAATCGACGTACACTGCGTGTTTTAGATTTGTCGTACCAAAATAGCAGGAAGAGATGCATTGCTTGCCTTATATAGCTATAGGAGCGAATTCTGTACTCGTTCGAAGTACAAAATAATACACTTTCGTTCTTATTCTCGACACTGTCTGGACTCTGAACCACTTTCTTGGAAAGATGTCTGTAGTATTGGAAACAATGGTGAAATATGTTCATAATTATCCGTTATTTATAGCTAATATATTATGCTAAAGTCCCGGTGAAACGAGAACCAGAGTTCATGAGAGTTTGCAACTCTTGCTAGCTAGTCTGACTGCGAGAATTGCAACCGTCTCGTACACTCTTGTGTACTCTTGTCAACTCTCATCCTCGTTCGACCATTGCCCGAGAGTTTGGGAAACTCTCGTGCAAACTCTCGTTTCTCAACTCTCATCAACTTTGGTAATCTCTAATAGTTGTTGTATACAGGTAATACAGCCTGGGTTTAAATATTGTGGTAACTGCATGACCTTGCAACTAACATGTCAGGGTATAGGCGCTGTATATTGATTAGGTATTGTGTAATTTCGTATATCCTGGTATAGATATCGCATTTGAAGATCGTACAAGGAAACGATATAGATCTAGACTATACCACACCGTCGGAAATGACTTGTTTACGACACTTACCACTATATGGAAATCAAGAAAGTGGCGATTGTACAATTTCTCTACAACAAATTTATCGTCACCCCCTACACTACCTTAATCAATCAAATCGTATCGATTGTCTTTTTATATAAGTTGTCTTATCATGCAGAACGACGTTCTTTTAAAAATTTAGAGTCGTGAAATGAAAGAGTGTACATGATTTTATAAAAATACGTCCAGACTGAAGAAGTGATAGCAACAGAATGCGAATCAGTAATAACATATAATATTTACAATGCTTAAAAAAACTACATACCTTTCGACTATCATCCCACGTATATTCATCATATACCTTATCATTTTAATCTTCCTAACCCCTTAGTGGGTCGCTGCTTTTTACAAAGTAAAAACGTCTGGGCTTAAATAAAGTATAAAATATGGTCAGTCTGGCGCGGAGTAGTAAAATTGGCTGGCATTTGACAAAGTGAGATAGCTTGACTTGGGGCAAAGTTAGACAAAATAAATTGGTCTGGCTTTTGACTGAGCAAAAATTCTGGCATTGAAAGGTTAAAATGGGTCAGACAAACTAGGTCTGACATTGAACAGAATAATATTCTGGTAAGGTGCAGTTTGAATGACATTTGACAGAGTAAAATGTTTTTGCGAAGGGCAGAGTGAAAAGGTCATAGTCTACCACTTGACATATATAATATGATATATGATTCTGAGATTCTAAGCAAAGCTATTCGAGTACACATGAATACACATGTATTCCATATTTATGATAGATAATGATAGATAGAAATAGAAATCAATTTATAATAGATAAAAATAGAAATCAATTCTGCAATATTTAATGGATAATACCGTATATCATTACTTAGGAAACTAGTCGAAATTTTGTGATTTTGTTTAGTTATAAAAACTATAGCTCTGACATAAATTTGAAAACCGAAACTAAAGAATAATTCAAGGAATATAGGGATATTACATCAGGTTGTTTCAACCGAGTTATAGATTTTCATTTTAAATACTATTCCCAGTCCCATTTTAGATCACCCAGATAGCTTTATAGCATATATTGGGTGTGCTTCTATGTTGACACATCGCACAGCTCTCTCTGGGCACGTAACTAGTGATAAATACTACCATAACATCACTTGAGTGATCGCAAAACCTTTATCCAGAATTGTTCAACTGTATCTTTTTCCTTCGACAACAGATTAGCGAAGGAGCGTATGGAGCCACTGACGAAACAACACTGGGTCGAGGGCAGGAGCTCAATCTTCACGCTCTAAAAGACACGCAATATTATCTGGGAATCACCGATATAGGGGAAGAGATATACATCCCCTTAAACTCGCCCCACAAAGTCCAGGTTTTCGTGGAAAAGTGTTTGGATGATTGCAATACTCCTATGAGGGCATGTTCAGTATTTCCGAGTAAATACACATACGTTCGCTTACCAAACGGCAATGGAACAAAGGGAGACGAGGAGGGGGAAAAATTGAAAGCATTGTATTTCGACAAGGATAAGATGAAGTTAATCTGCCTGGACAGTCGCGGTTGTGAAGTCACTTTGGGTTTGGATCAGTTGAGCGAACTCATTGTTACAGAAAAGCACAAGGATGCTGTTTTCATTGCTGAAGCACATGACAAATTTTCACTGCCTTTTACTGTGCAGTTTATAAAGCAAAGCAGCTCGTCTGGGTACCTTCCAAGAGGTTTGATACGGGTGAGAAAGATTGTCTTAAAACAAACCGTCATCGCAACGTCTCGTGACGTGGAAAGCCAGTCGATATTAACGTTTCCCAGCACGCTTGACGTGACTGTATTCGCCCCGCTTGAGGCGACTGGCAGCCATTCACAATATCGTAGTTTATGTGAGGATATTAACAGCAAGATGAATCTGACAAAGGTGAAAGAAAACATCGCAAAAAATGAAGGGGTAAGTTCTAATACGATGCATTTTATGATACTAAGAACCTAGTGCAATAAAACTCTTGGAAACATTGTTTGTTTCTTTACTTAGTTTTACCGAGGGAATTACTCGCCATATATAGGCATGAGCTCTATCGTGCATGAACTATATATAATATCAGAGACTCCTCCCTTCTCAACTATCATCTCATAAAAATCTCAAGGTCATAATCTAAATGTATTATTAGCATCATAAAATTGTTGCATGGATGTTGTTGATTGAGAGGAGTACATTTATTTCATTAATTGTACTGCATTACAATTAATGATTTTGCCAAAATAAACAAAATGGCGGAATTTACTTGCACACAAATTGAACAGTCCTGGAGGAACTAAAAAAGGCCAGAAAGTTGAACGAAAATACTAGTTTAAATACTAGTACGAAATATTGGATAGAATGTTATAGGACTGTATTTTGACAAGAAATTATCGTGCTTGCATTGAATAATTATTATGTTCTAAAAGATTTCGACTAAGAGCCTGTTTACATGAAACGAGTTATCGGAAGAAAAAATGAACTTTTTAAAGTTATTCAATCGTGTTCTCTTTGATAGCGATACAGAAATGCACCATTGTGAACCAGTGATTAGATTTTCGGGTTGAAACTTCATAAACACCAATTCCTACGATGTTGGATAAAATCATACAGCATTTATATCATAACAAGAAACTATCGTGCTTGCATTGAAAATTATGCCCTAAAATATTTGCTTCAAAAATTTTACGATTTTATGATGTTGATGCATGGTTACCGTAATTTATATCGTAGTTTCTGCATGGATTGAGTTTACATGTGTGACGCTTGTTCGTCGTTTTCTAGATATACGATGACGTTGAAGCCGCCGTCACGGCTATCCCATATGCAGAGTCATTTTTCGGCAAACAACCTGCGGTTGAAGCTAGCCCCACCGAGGAGGATGAAGATTATCCCTTGGACGATGGAGGATATATTGATATGGAGTCCCTATTCCAAAAGAAGGACGAAGATGATGAGGCGTACGAAAAACCAGCTGAAGGAACGTGTAAGCTAGAAAGCCCTGTTGGCGGGAAGAAAAGTAGCACGGTTCCCAGAAACCCGAAGACTCCTTTTAATGCAAAGTTTTCTACGTTGCCCGTTACATCACGTTCTCCTGGTTTGCCAAAAAAAGATGCCGCTGACAGCACAAGCCCCATAACGTCGCCCAAAGGTACTGGGAAAGGCAAAGTAATCGGTTTCATTCAAACACTATCGAGGAAATTAAGCAGTAGCTCAGGTGTGTTTTGGTCAGCACTTGCTTGCACTCACGCATGCGTGCATGTCTAAGAGCCAAGGCAACCTTGAACCCAGGGCCTTTGCATGTTCCCTCACATCGTTTCTCAAAATCCTCGGTTCGAGATTCTTTTATTTATTCCTGCACATTGCCATCATTTTACAACATAAAATTTACATGGATTTTTCCGCAAACGACAATTTAGGCAGGAACGGCACGACGGCTTAAAACAGATTAAAAAAAACTAAGGCTGTGTTCAAATTGAGTTCATCTAAATCTGTGGATGATTTGGGGATGAGGATCTATTGATGAAATTGGATATTTTAATTTTCTAGGGCTGTCATACTCTACAACACCTCCGGCAGACACCGAAAAACGTCAGGAAGAGGTAGGGTAATATATTATGTATATGTACTTCTGGTTGCAAGATTGCCCACGCTTCGTAGTAGGTGCTTCGAAACCCCAGTTTGTAGAACTGACGGCAAACATAAGAGTTTCATTACTTTCATACCCCGTCTGTAACAACTTTATATGACGCAGAACAGTTTTAGTTCTTAGATTAATATTTTTAAACTATACGGTATAGGCTATTATTATACTTTGCTGTTATCTCTATTTTATGTAGACATGTTTCATGTACCCTAATCTTTAAGTAGCTACTACTGTGTCCTGTCGTTGTAAAACCATTGTAATTCCATTTTATAAATTATGGAGAAAAAAAAACAAATTTGGAGCTAGCAATTATTGAAGCGAACCCCCAATTTAGGAATACCAAGGTTTAATTCAAGTTATACCGAACAACGAGCAATTATAGAGCGATTGCAAAAAGGCACTTTCCGGTGGATAGCGCTATCCAGCTTTCGTACAACCGGCACGCGGGACTTTTGAAGCACGTTGGTTAAATTTGTGTTTTTCTTGAGGTTTATGAATGTTTTTTTTTTGTCCAGGCTGATGATGACAATGGCGATAGCGATGATGATGATTATGAGCCTCCACCAGTCCCTATTTCCCCTATTTCCTCTATTTCCCCTGTTTCCCCTGTTTCCCCTATCGATTACAACGACCGTTTTAAACAAACGCGCCAAAAGATTATCAAATCCAGCCGCAAGACAGAGGATTTGACAGTGCATGAGATCAAGACGTTACTGGATGACCTAAACTTGGGACAGTATAGCGAAGTTTTTGAGAAGGAACAAGTGGATGGTAAAATCTTAAAAGAGTTGGACAAGGAAATCCTTCAGTCCCATTTTAAGATGACACCGTTTCATGCTCACAAATTGATCAAAGCTATCAGCGAAAACTGGCGACCCACGATCACAGATTGAAGGGGAATTAAGGTTGCCGTTTAGGTTGGGACTTGTCAAGACAATGATGACAACACAATAGGGACCTTAAGCATGTAGGACGGCAACACGACCTTAAGCATGTAGGACGGCAACACGACGACGACGTGGTTGGAATACTCCTTTGAATTAATGTTATGGCAAAGCGTTGTTCTATATCATCAACTGTACCAAATTAATGAGATATAAGAAGTTGAAAACATCCTGTTTACGTTTAGGGACAATTCTATTGAGCCTAATTCAGGGTAGCGCTCACTGAGTCCTGAAATGCAGACGTTTTACATAGGACGTAATAAACGACGTTTTGCCGTTCTAAACAGAACTCAGATCACGTCTAAAATTCCCATAGGTATTTAATAATTCATTTCTTCTCCATGAAGCATTGTATTTATAGCTGCCGTCGTCGTGTTCCCGTCCTATATGCTTAAGGTCCCTAACAGCAGAAGTAGAACGACAACAACACAATATTAACAACAGCAACACAACAACAACAATAGCAACAACAACAACAACAACAACACAGCAACAACACACAACATCACAACAAACACAAAAGCAACATTCTAAACTTTGTGTCCGTGTTGCACATTTCATCTGTGTGTAAATATAATTTTATGATCAATAATTCACAAGAATAATCACGATACATTTAAAGAAATTTAGGCGCAAGCATATTAATATTTTTAGTCTCTCTTTATATCTAATGGACGATAATTATTATTGTAGATACGTCCATTGTTTGTGTATTTTCGTCCAATGTATACTATTAATCACATTAATCCGCTAGGTTTTTTAACGATTTCTCTAACTACAATATGCCTAGGTATTCTTCGTTGGCGTATAACGTCATAGGCACCGTCCTGGTTGATTCCACAGTCACTTCTGATAAATGTACCTGTTTTAAAAATCAACCAAGCTGACGGCAATTGTAAAATTATTGTACGTGCGCTTGTGCTAATTTAATGTAAAAAAAAATCGATGAGACACTTGTTTGATGTTGGGTATATCAACTGTCTGTCGCCTTACGCTGGTTTAACACACATTCATCGCGATGAAATTCGGACTTTTGCAAACAAAACCAGCTCAACCTTGCTTTTTTTTGCGATGCCACGTACACTTCGCCTCTTTTAGCATTTGCATTGGCTTTTTGCGCGAATTTCGTGTATTATAATGCGCGAAAGCCACCTAATGAACGAAAAAAAGTTATTACCGATATTGACAGTTAATGTTTCTATTCTATTCGGTTCTCAGTGAAAATTATCTCTATTTTTGTGTCACCTGAATTGTATATTTCATGCACGAAACTGGAGTTTTCCTGTGAAATAAGGGCAATAATATTCCATTGATTAGGTTTTCCGTTTGTCTGCTGCTAATTTCGGCCGCCAACCGTTGATAAAATTGAGCAACTTTGTGCGATGAAAAGAGGTCATTTTAAGGTCTGTCAATTGGCTCTCCTTCATCTCCTTCAACAAACACCCGTCTATCATTTCATTCTCAAACGTCTCTGCATACTCGGCCATGTTCAAATTTTTCAGCAAATCAGAGACTTGGCCAATGCTGAGGCCAGATAGATCTAAGGGAATCCTAGCCACCAAGTCGTATGGATTTTCATCGTGACCTGGGAACTTAGCAGTCGTAGGGGAATTCTTCTCGTGTACCGTCGGCATTGCTACGGGTCTTTGAAACGGCTCTTCATATACGCTATCTTCATTTCCTGTTTGTGGAATAGCGTACTCGTTGTTTTGGCCGAATTTAAATTCTCTCGGTAATGTGTCAGAACGTTTCTTTCCCCACTGTGTACGAGCCTTGTTCCCTGGACGGGGACTAGACGGTACTGCAGGGGGCACGGAGGGCGATTGAGGGTAATTGCTGGACACATTTGGCTGTATTGGGATAACGTAATTGGGATTTTCTATGGGATATTTTTGCGGCCATTTGGGGGATTTCGGGGGAAGGTTAGGGATATAATCTGTGCCAGTTTGGTGGTGGTTCTCTTCGTTCTGACTAGTTGTGCGAACTTCTTCCGCCATAGAACCACCTTGAAAAAGTAAATATTACATTTAGACAGGCACTAGTCAAATGTGAACAACAGAACTTCCATGTTTGTCGGTAAACCTATAAAGCCGAAGCTAAAAGGCCGATTTTCGTCGGCGGTTTTCTCTTTCTAGCGTATGTTATTGAGTATATTATGTGCAAAGTTGCATTATCTTAACGAAGTGAAGTAATCTACACTCTTGAATACATACTCTGGGGACGTGTATACAAACAATATCATACAATACGATGCAATACAATACAAAGGAAGGCTATACTACGATGCAACACCAGTGATCTAGCAATCATTTCATGTGCAGTAATTTCCAAATACATGAATTCAAGTCTTGAGATTCTTGACTTTCAGAAAGATAAATGACTGCATCGGCTTACCTTGGTCATTGTTGGGCGTCTCGTGCAACTTTGGCCGTCCGTCACGGGGCGGTAATTTCGGAGCTGCAACCGCTGATTCGTTATTTTGCAGATTCGCCTCTACGTCGGTTTGTGGAGCCGATGGTGAACTATTTGTGATGGTTTGTTTAGCCTCGATTCCAGGAGCATCTGTTTCATCGAGTGCCTTATCAAGGGGCTTGTTAGTCGTAACTGCTTTAGGCGGGGGTTCATTCGTTTCGACTTCTTCGGGTTTGGACTTTTTACCCGGGGGCAGGGAACGTGGGGGTCGAACTGGGATCTTAACACGGTTCTTCAGTTCAGCCACCAGCGGTGAAATTGGTTTATTTCTTATCGTTGACACAGAATCTGGGGCGGGTTTTGGCAATTCCACCGGTGTTTTGTTACTCTTTGAGTCCGCGGGATCTTTGGGGACATTGGTGGTTGCTGGTGGTACAACTGGGGATGAAGTTGGGGTATTTATAGGTGGTTTCACATGTGGTTTAGGCTCCTTCGCTTTTGGCTTTGGGGGATCATCAGGGTTACTGGCGTGTGCCTTCGGAGTAATTGGGATGTTTATAGGTGGCTTTACTCGTCTCACCCCAGGACCTTTAGGGTTATTTACATCATCTTCAGTTGATTGCAGTGTAGCTTCAGATAATGTTGCCGATGCATCATCTTCCCCCCCTGGAGGAGAATCTACAGCATCGTGTTCAACATGAGATTCAGAATTTGACCGGAGGGGGGCGGTTGGTGTTGGTTTCGGTGGAGTTGGGGGCATACTAACAGTTCTAGGCACTTGACGCCTCGGTGGCAGCGCTGGGGCGTCCGTCGCCTGTTCCACGAGGACAGAATGTCTGAATTTTTTCACGATACATTTCCTTATTGTGTCGTAGTTATATTGTCTTATTGCGTTGCGACGTCGTATCATCGTCGGCTCGAAGCTGGTCATGAATTTCGCAACGTCAAAGCGTTGGTTGAGATCGTCAACAACATCGGTGTAGTGCTTGGCACCGTTCGCAAAGCCCTCCGCGACGGCGACCTTTATTTCCAAATTTTTCGGGATTTCGTAGCAGAATTTCAACTCTGGATCGCTCGCTACTGTTGTGCTGATGATTGTAATATCCTGTGTCTCGTCTGTGATGTTGATGACAGGGGTCTTCGAAATTATCCTGTTGAACAAGATTTAGATGTGTAAGATTTCTACAGCGGCGTGTGTGTACGAGAGACTGTCAATTAGCGTCAGCTATACCACGTAGGTCTAAGGAAGAATAGACTCGAAGAATCGCCCATGTATTTGTTGTGTCAGGCCCTTTAAGGTTCGTGAGAAACGCCTTGGTTTCGCCGTTTAGGGATTAATATCAAATTATCTCTCAACACACGATTTTATAAATAAAATATTGTAGTCTGTATTTGATTTGAAATCGTGTCGCCGCTTGCATGAGCTAGCAACGTACAAAACTCGAAAGTCATAATGTTTAGAGCCTATAGTAATTTCATTTGGGGGAAAATTTTTTTCGACTTGATGTTTGTTTTCTTTGGCATTAATCCATTAAACATCAGTAAATGTTGAATACGGACATGTCATTTTACATACAAAGACTATGAGATATATATTTATTGAAGGGTATTGTCTGAAGTGGTACGTTTAAACGTCTTAAATCAACCTTACAGTATTACTAAGCAGTGACAATAAATCTTGCCTACCTCTGACATTCCATATCTTCACGAATCCAATCGGCGTTTTCTGCGAATTTTACTCTTATTGGAAACCCATACTGATGCGTCTTCAGTTCATTAGCTTTGTATTTTTTCCAATCGAGAAGCGGTCTAAATCTCGCCGAGCACGTATAAGTCAGCGTGGATTTCTGTTCACTATGCAGATTAAGAACGTGGACTTTTGCCTTATCGGGTTTCTGAGGTTTGACGATGTCCAGTATTTCCAACAGTTCCCCTTGCGCCGAGGAGTTGAGGTCTTCGTCCGTACCATAATGCGCTTGAATCACTTCCAAGTACTTCACGGTTTGGTAGAACGATGCTAAATCGGTCACGCCGCACGAGTCGAGCTTACAGTCGCTCGTTTGAGGTAGAACCTGAAAGTCGTCCGGATAGTTCAAAGCGACAGCGAACTCATTTTCATTTTTGTCCTCACCGACGAGTGTTCGCGATTCTCTTAAGGCGTGTAGGGTGAGCACCTCGCCGAAACCTAAAGTTGGGCTGTTTGTCATAGTTCCATCGTGACCACGCACGATTTTAACCACTTGTGGTAACGGAAATTCGGTCAAAAATTCCGACAAGATATACGAATCATCGCTCCAAGTTATCGTGTTGAGCAGGTCGTCTTCCCCACGGGATACCATAATATACAAAACAACGGTATCTAACTTACTTCACAATTAGCTTCACTGACAGCTATATACCGTAATTTTTGTTTCACACTTCCTCGTAGCGAGACGTTGGTGTGTTTGTTTATGGATCTTTACAGCGCCACTTGAAGTCGTCGTGAATTCAGATTGTAAATTTAAAAGCCTAATCCTTAAGAAGTTGTGTACGGCAAACCAACCGTATTTTCTTGTTTACCTAAAGAGGTCGAGCTCAATGCTGGTCAGTACTTTTCAATTTATGCAAAACCTTTGGATAATTTGAATGCGGAGTTATTTTAGGCGGAAGTTATAAATGAAATCTTGAATCACCTGCTTGCTGGTAACTTTTTTACCTTTTCATCAATATCCTTCGCTTGAGCTTGTATTTTCAATTTCTCTTGTGTTTACCATGTGAAGACTTCGTATGCCGAATATACTCCGACAATGTTCCACACAAATCGCAGAGATTGTGAAATAATTGACTACATAGGCAAGTCCAAATCTTTATCGAAACAATTAAAGTCGCCACGTCTTCCGTGCTTGGCAATGTTTCGAATCAGTAGCTATTTCGGCTTTGTGATTCGCTTCTGCTAAATCTCACAAGGCTTCACGTCGAGACGGCAAAATATATTGGATTCCAAAGATATACTCGGTGAAATGTCAGTGTACATAAACAGCTAGCTAGTCAGTTGAGACAGTATTGTTCTCACACGGTTTTGAATAATTTAATAAAATATTCAAAATGATAAAACGAAACCATGCTGTGTGATTTCAAAAGGTTCGAAACCCTGGCACAAAACACATCCTTATCAAACCTGCTGTGCAAGATATGTCAGCTAGGGCAATTGAATAACAACCGGTCTATGCTTTTGCCCTAATATTATGATATTTTGCAAGCAATTCTGTAATATCGTCTTGTTTCTTTATATATAAAATTCAACTCTATTTTATTCTATATAATCTCTCGATGTTTAATTCAAAAAAATAAGGAACTAAGTTACACAATTATATGACATAACAGGATAACAACTTTTAAATGGACATAAACAATTGTCTCAAACGACAAATTGGTAGTATCAACTTCCGGATATGTTTTAAGTCATTTCAGAAATTTGGAAAATAATTTCACATTCTTAAAATGAGCGGGTGTTATGTGAAAGCTACTAGATATACTGGTTCATTTCACGGTTCTGTTTTCAGTGGCTGAAAGATTATCATTAAGGATAATTATATCTGCTTTACGTGCACGAGACTTTACTTATTTCATACCTTTATTCAAAAAAACCATAATTTGCATGAGAGTCTAATATGTAGCTGGTCAATATACAGCATATTGCATCAAATGCGGGGTAATATTTCTCGCATAACATCGTTGTTGCGTATTGAAACGTCTGCCATTAGAAAGTTGTATGCAATTGAACAAGTCATGCAATTATGGCAGCACTTCGTGATTAAAATGAATGCTGGTGGTTTTGTAAACTGCCCTTGGTCAAAAAATTATCTGAAAGTGGGCATATACAGTGTAATATAATATATTTTATATATTTAAAAGCACAGTCGTATTGAATGTGACAAAAAATGTGTGTTTCTTGATCAGTGTGCTTGACCTTTCTCAAACAATTCAAAGGTTTAACAATGAAAATCTAACTCTTTTTTTCAAATGAAATGTGGTGCTTTCTGAAAATGTCGGCGTTAATTTGTTTTCGTGATTTACTGTGTTTCCGGCATGAAAAATTGCATCGACTTTATTGTGCGATGTCAAATGCTTTGTCAAAATTCAATTTTTGTGTTTATATTCTTGCAAAGTAAAGGATTAGACGAGATATGTCTGTGCAAACTGATGGTTACACCTTGGGACGCCAACCTCCAATGAACCTCAACAGTTTCTTGGCATGAAACGGGTCGACATCCAGCGAGTGCAAACTCTCTCTGTCTATACAAGCCAACATCGAGCCGTCGACCATCTCTTTTCTAAATATTTCAACGTGTTTTTTCATGCCCAGGTATTCCAGTAACCTGCCAACGTCTGCAACCTTCAGGTTTGACAGATCTAATGGATATTCTGCGATGGCGAGGTAGTTCCCCTCATTTTTGCTCTCGGGTTCAACTACAGGATGTCGACTTAAATGGGGTGAAGAGTGTGCATCAGGTGTTCTGGCGGGACATTCAGGTATACTATGAGGATTTTTGGGGTGCGTGACGGGCGGTTTTGAAAAAGTTGGTTGGTCTGGCTCGCTGTACAAAACCTCAGATTTCTTACACTTTTTGACTTCAGATGAAACATTGGTAGGTATTTTGACTGTTTTCTTGGGCACGGGAGGAGGTTTCTCAGTCATTTTAAGTGGGTTTCTAGAGCTTTGAATTTGTTGTTGTTCCATAACAGGTTTTTCATATTTTTGACTGGAGATATACGTCGGATCAAGCGCGGTATATTGCGACTCTTCAATGACGGGTTCGCGTTCATCTTTTGTATTCAATCCAATCTCTTCATAAGTTGGATCGGGGTCAGCGCGCGCCAAAGTTAAATTTCTTGGCTTCGGCTTTGGTGATACGACTGGTTTTTGCTTTTGAGAGGAACGCTTAACCGATGCTTGGGTAGGCTTGCTTCGCGTTATATTTCGGATCGCATCATCAATATCTTCGTACAATTGTGCGTTGCTATCCTCGCTGGGTGTTGTTGCTTGGTTGAACATCTGACAAATTTTAGCATAATCAGCGTTGTTTCGGAACGAGTCCGCGCAAACCACCAACTCGATATTCACATCAGGGGAGATTTGCATCGAAAGCTTCTGACCGTCAGCAAGTATCGTAGTTGCCTCAACGACCTTCTCTTTGGAGATTTTGTCCAGGCAAATGGTTCGAAAGGGTTCACAAGGGGGTCTGTTATCCGACCGGGCATCTTCACCGATGCTGTCAAGTTCTACGAATTGCACTTTTAACGGCATTTTGAATTTTTTTAAAGCATCTGATAGGTAGTACTCTTTTCCATCGACCAGAGGTTGAAAGCCGGAAACAGTGTCTTTCGGTAGTTCAATCTTTTGGCCATATTGGTTAATACAAACCAAATTTTCTTTCATTTTTCTTTTATTATTACCTTTCAACTGCAATTTATCTCCGACATTCAATAGAGCTTCGTTTGACGACTTACTGTGATAGGCTGAAAATAGTATATTAGATAACAATATAACTGCTTGGTGGTTACATGATCTGGGCAAGATATTACTTATTTTCTGCTAGATACTAAAAAAAAGATAGTAGCTAGGATAATACGACCATGGCAGAACTCTTGTGTGAAACGAGGGCGAAAGAAACCAAGTATAACAATGCAGAAAGACTGAGAAAGTGCCTTTGTAGTTATTGCTAACATCTTAAAGCTTGTAATTCAGTATTTCTTTAATTCTATAGCTATAAAGTGCAA